GGTAAACGACACCCCTACTATTTGATAGGTTTTGTTTTTTGCATGTTATAGAGGTTTCATGTAACTTCTATAAGGTTTTTTGATACGCATGGAATCTGCTCTTGAAGTCCTGTGAAGTCTTGTGAAGTCTTGTGAAGTCTTGCGAAGTTTTATGAAGTCTTGTGAAGTCTTATGAAGTCTTATGAAATCTTATAAAGTCTCAAGAAGTCCTACAAAGTCTCTGAAGTCTCATGAAGTCCGTGAAGTTTCACGAAGTCTAACGAAGTCTTTGGAAGTCTTTTGAAGTCCCATGAAGTCATACGAAGTCTTATGAAGTCTTGCGAAGTCATTTGAAGTCCTATGAAGTCTTCAGAAGTCTTTATAAGTCTTTTGAAGTCTTGTGAAAATATGAAGTCACTGCGGCTGAAGTCTGTTGAAGTCTTGAAGTCCGCTGTTTCCCCCTTGCATGAAACTTCTGCCATTCGATTGCAAAATCTAATTACAAGTAGATAATGTCATCGTTCTGTCTAAGTGTTATTTTTATATTGTAAATAATAAATATTTTCATGCTCATAAAATAAAAAAGAACTGAGATTAGAAAATGCATGTAGCTAAAAATACTTTCTGGAAACAAGAAAAAAATATTTGGAACTACTATGGTAGCAGACGAGGTCGTTTTGTGTCAAACAACAAGAAACAAATATAGGTTTTCGTATCGGAAAGTGCAAAGTTCTGAACAGACATCTTGTCTTTCTTGCATATGTTTTAATCGATTATAAGAAATGAATTTCATTCGATGATGAACTTGTTCGCGATCGACGAAAGAAACGCGTTTTGATACTCTAAGAGTGCATTCTTCTGGGAACGTTCTAATGCTTTCTGAATAAGTAGTTTTTTTAAATCAAGGAATGAATTACTCTTGAACAAATTCAAACGGGATTCTTGAGAAAGCGTTCTTAGTCAATAAATTGTGTTACATTTTTTTGAGAATGCGTCCTTACTTGTTCATTTCCAGTGATTTTTTTCCCATGGGATGCTACACTAAGTACAATTGCTGTTGTCTAATATTGATTTATTTGTTTTATTAACATTCCAGACTGGTACCTTCTCTTTTTCCCATGTCTCATGATTGCTTATCAGAATGAAATATGCATATCATCATTTTTTTTCTCATTCTACCTGTAAGTCGTGTAACGTATACTGATGAACAAAAGTTTGTAAAGCTGAGAGAATCTTCTATCAGGTTTATTAGATTCGAAGACTTAAAAATTGAGATTTTTTCGATCTCAGCATGGCCATCCTTCTTCGAGCTGCGTTTACTTTACAGAGGACTTCAAAGCATCAATCGTGGCAAAAATATTGAAATTTTCAAAAAAAAGAGAGCAATGCCAGTTGGGGCTCCTGTAAATTGAATACAGTTTGATGAAGGAAAATTATGGACAGATCAACGCCGTCTCATTTTGCTCTATCAAAATAAAATCATTTCTCAAAATCTTCGAATAAAAACCAGAAAACTGGTTTTTCACAGATTCTTATTCAAGTTTTCGAGCTTAACAGCACTAGTTGAGAATTTGTTCTGCTACGCAAATAGTTTTTCATATTCTTACTAGCTGTTATCATCGACAAGAAAACTGAAACAAAACTTCGATAATTTTTTCTTCGTCGCTATATGTAGTTCATATGGCCACAAATAATCGTCGACTGTTCAAAATAAGAAGATGCTTATTATGAAGAGATTTTATTATCATTAATTTAAGTCTAGTATTATTATTCAAAAAAAAAAACAATAAGCACTGGATTTGGATTATTCTTTATCATCATAACAAGATTTGTTTCGTTTATTCAGCTTGTCATGATATGAGAAGTGTTTTAACAATAACTTTAATGCTTTCTTTTTATAAAACAGAGATTAAAAAAAAGTACAATGTCAATAAATTTTACTTTTTTTTTCTCATTATTATCATCATTTAAAGAATACGATGAATAATATACATATTACTATCTTCTTATGCTTCTTTTTCGGTAAGTCTTATTTTCTTGTTATTTATATTTAAACAAAATCAAATAATTCAGTTTCCATAGAACATTATTCTCACGTACTATGTTATTCAGTCACATGTAACTTTGAAGAAAGCGAATGTGGATGGGAATTAAACTCAGTATGGCAAATTTATCCATCAGGTAGTACGACTGAAACAGCCAACTCTGGTCCAACTGCTGATCATACAACTGGAAGTAAGTCATGAACTCAAGTGTCTATTACAACTAATATATTTTATTCGAGGTGGAAATTATGTTCGTTTTATGGCCGCACTTCTATCTGACTCAAATAAATATGGTATTATGAGTACAAGTGCGTGTGTGGAACAATCGACTTCATTCTCATTTTGGTATTTCATGCATGGAAGTCAAATTGGAACATTAGCATTAATTGTCAATGATCAAGTATTATGGGAAAAGAGTGGCCGACAAGGAGTACCAGCATGGCATCAAGCTAATATTACGTTACCTGCTGGTGTTGATGTCAATGTAGGCGTAGTTGTTCTTTTTTTTTTTTTTAAATATCCCATAAAGTAGATGAACTATGTTTGAATAGATCACATTTTCTGCTAATCGTACAGGTATTGGTCGATCATCTGATATTGCCATTGATGATATTGTTTTGCAAGGAGAATCAAGTAACAATTGACTTCTTGAATGAAATTTCTTTCTCAATAAGTATTTTCAGTGTCTTTTTTTACACGCACAACCAGACCACGTCCATCGACAACACCTCGTATTCGATTCAATGCAAGTTGTGATTTTGATGTTGAAAGAGAAATATGTAGCTGGAAAAATGATACAACATATGGTTGGAAAGTTATTCATACAAGAGAACCAAATATCACTATTGGTCCACTAAGTGATTATAGTAGTATTAGTATGTATTGTTTTCACCAATGAGGAGAAACAAGATATAAATGTGTATCATTTTATAGTGAGAGCCAATGACGATAATAAAGTGTGTAACATTCCATACGACGAGAAGGGCCCTCAATATTATTGTATATTGAATAGTAGACGTTTACAATGTAAAGGAAGTGATAACAAATGGATAAATTGTCGAGATGGTAAAGTTTTATGAGAAGATTGTCGTTGAATATTTGTTTTTTGTTTAATTGATAGGAGGTTTTCTTCAAATTCGAAGTGGTGAATTTGATAAAGTAGGCGAAAGTTCACAAATTGAGTCTCCAGTACTTGATGCATTATCTGAAGAAGGATGTGTTCAATTTCAATATAATATAGCAGGTAGTGACAATGATTGGTTGAATGTTTATACTGAAGATTATTGGAGTGGTCGTCAATCATGTATGTGGCATAAAAATGGATCAACTGTACCTAATCGATGGGTGACAGCTGAAGCACCATTAAAGTTAGAAAAGGATGCAAAGTATAAAGTATGAATTAGACGTAAATGAATTAATATGTGTCAACGTATTTGTATGATAGATCGTGTTTCAAGCAAGCAAAGGAGAAGTTAATGAAATGGGTTTGATTTCGCTTGATCACATTGTTGTCTCATCTAGACCATGTAAGTCAGTTTGTACAAATATAATGATTTTTTGTTGCATAGCATTTATTGTAGGTTCTGGTACATATCCGATCGAAGCATGTTCTGAAGAAATGATAATAAATACAAGTACAATGATCAATACAGAACAATTCGAAACAACAGCGACAGAAGCAATGGCAACTATTATATGTACAGTGGCTACACCGTCAACAATGCAAATAGCACCTTCTACAGTTGCAGAGACTCTTGAGTCAATAATCGAATCAAATACAACATTCGAATCAAATACAACAATCGAACCAAATACAACAATTGAATTAAATTTAACATTCGCATCAAATACAACAACTGAATCAAATACAATAACCGAATTAAATACAACAATCAAGTCAAGTACAGCAATCGAATTAAATACAACATTCGAATCAAATACAACAATCAAATCAAGTACAACAATTAAATCAAATACAACCATCGAATTAATAAATACAACAATCAAATCAAATACAACAACCGAATTAATAAATACAACAGCCAAATCAACTACAACAATTGCGCTAAATACAACAATTGTATCAAATACAGCAATCGAAACAAATACAACAAACAAGGTAACAACAGCAACTTCTTATGATGGTGAACAAAATAAAACAACGATCTCTACGAGTGGGACAAAAGATACGCCCATTCTAGCAATTATTCTTGGTGTATTAGGTGGTACCATTCTGGTTTCTGCTGTTGTTGGCGTATTTATTTGGCATTCTTCAATATTGTCGCGGCTTGGTATCAAACGGTCTAATCGCATAACAATGACTTCAACTTATTGATCGACATGAGGCGACATTGTTGAAATGAATGAGATGAAAAATAACAGTACACATGCAATATCAGCTTATAAATCATGTTCTTTTGTTCGAGAATGTTTATAGTTTGTAAAAACAATATTTCATCAATACTATTAACTTTTATCGTGCTAAGCCCAAATGTGCTTGAGTTTTGTGATGCCTGGACAAAAAATAATTTTTCTTCTGAGAAACTCTTCTAGTTTATGATTAAAATATTATTGAATATGACAGAAATCACAACTATGATCAGTACGAATTGTATTTAATCCTGATATTGATTGTAAACGACTGTTTATGTTGTTTCCATTTATTCCTATTTCGAATTCTTGATAAAGATCAATTTCTTGAAAATTTTCTTTACTGAACACAACACCCCACATCCACACTCACACTCAAGCTGCAGCATACGGCTAAAAAACTAAATACTCCCAACTCATCAATTTTTTCTATTCCGGCATTAAAAGGTCAATCATGCAGGCAAATTGCATGTGTTGTTCATCTACTGTATCACGCATAATTGTGCCAGACAGTTTGACGCTGAACTATATTTATTGAAAAATGAACTCTTTTGTCTGTTTATTTAGGCAGAAACCATTCATTTGGTAACTATTAATGTATCACCTGCTTCTAAGTCTTGTCTATCCGGTCTATTTAAAATAATACATCCAGTACTAGCTGATTGATCATTCTGGTTATTGTCGCCATGAATTTGAAAGCCACTTCGTCCGAACATATCGTTTGAACTATCAGGTTCTAAATTGATTCTTTCTCCTCTATTTTTGGCAGTGTTTTTAAGTGTATATTTGCCGATAGGTATGGGACCTTTGTTCTGAATTGTTTGATCGGTTTCGCCCTTATATCCACTATAGGCACACACTGAAGTGCAGTTACGGTCATTGTAAAACGTCTCTGACGATTGTGAGTAGCAATGCTGAGCCATTAGAGTTGCTAAAATAAAGAAAAATAAATTACGAATGTTGTTGACAATGTTTAGAGGGAATAAGTATGGCTCTTCGCTTCAGTTACATCTTCATCCACATTAACACCAGTCTCTTTCCTTCCAGTGGTTCCTTTGAATACATTGCCTTTGTGGAAAGGCTTAGAAAGACAAACAAGACAAAACGATCTGAAGTGCGATATTAATCAAGACGGTATAAATAACTACAGTAGCAACATTTCGTTTCGAGAATTTGTTGTTCTATATATCTATCATTCAGTTTTGTTTTTCATTTCGTTACAAGCAATTATGTCGAAATTCGATATACATATATAGCGAAATTATGGTGATGTATGGCGAGAGGAGGAGACCAAGTGTAAATCAAAAAAAAAGCTACTCAAGTAAAAGAAGATCAAGGGTGATTAAAATAAAATAAGAACGCAATGAATGTATCAATATGAAACCTGTACTACACTATTTACATTGAACATTGAATGGGATCATATTGTCATGGATTGCTTTTACATATGTGATTGAATTTTATCGAAATTTGTACGATCCGGTGTATTAAAGAATATTGTTTGAGATCTAATATAAGTGGCTACAAAACTGCTTTATTATCAGATTCAAAGACCTTTTATAATCGAGCAGACTACTCATTTGCCACATTTATGAAATATTTATGAGGCAATATTTTTTTAAGGTATATCATGAGTTTAAATTATTTTTTAAATAAGTATATCAGTGAGAAAAGTGCTCTAAACTGTCAATCAGTAATGAATATCCAATAATTTATATGTGTGAAAATACTTGCCAAGTATTTAATTATTTGAACGAATATCAGGAAATATGTGCTATGAGAAGCAGTGCGATTCTTTTTTTCCAACTAAAAATGAAAGGATGCAAACTCTGTTTCTTATTCTTTATATATAGTGCATTTCCAAACGTAGAATTTGATTGGTTGAAACAGTAAGAAAACATGGTGATTCTTTTCATAAGAGAATAGTAAAATAGGAAAAAGAAGGATCTGATCATTTCCCACTACATTCTCCGTGAAACAGTATTGTCATAGAAATCGATATTTTTCATTTTATTTTTTTCTCTCTCTTTTAAATGTAGTAATGCAGAATGAAAATGTTAGTCTAGATTTTTAAGAAATTTCATTCATGAGTAGCCGGAAAGATTGTGGATGTTTTTTTCCAGAGCTGGACAACTCAATTCATAAACAAAAATAATCCATCACATTTCATACAAGAAAAATGGATTCTTTCACTCTTAACCCACTAACATACACATCCACATCCTTTTACTGGTTTTCTTCAAAGGTCTTGTCTGATTGAGTAGTGATTTTTACTGTAAGTCCCGCGAAGCACTTAGAAAGTGCTTCGTGAAACCATTTTCGAAACTAAGCTAAGTAGCTTTTTGAAGCGCAAGCCTTTTAAGCTACTTGAAAATAGTTTACAAAGGCAAAAATTTTCACTTGGGAATTTTTACCGCATAGTTATACAAAGTGCAGAGATGAAACCAATTCCACCTACTATACAAAGAGAACTTAAAGAAATATTATCGTAAGAAGAAAAAAATTCTGTTCACCTATCGTTATCTGTTCTGTACAAAAATAAACAAAACAACAGATCGATTTTATTTCACTACTTTTTTTTCTTCTTTTTAGAATAAATGTATTGCCTGGAAGTAATTGCCGAATTGTTAATGTAGTCAAAGCAATGTTAGATATATATTGAAAGAATGAAAACGTTGCTACGTAAACAAAAGAATAATGACAATAACAATAGAAAAAGAGTTTCTTTTTGACGGACTTGCGGCATTTGGACTTTGTATCTATGAAGACAAGATTCTGAGAAAATTTTGTTAGAGAAGTCTCATTAAGGCCTAAAAGCGGAACTCATATGGCTCGTTGAGTTTGATTACAGTAATATAGTCACGCAAATAGTAAAATCTCTAAAAGACAAGGGTGCTTTTCCAAATATACTCATTTATCAGAAAATGTTCTCTTTCTCTTTGTTATTTCTATATTTAGAGAAGCAACTTGGTTTTATTATTATTTGTTTGAATGACGTTCTTTTTTTTTTCTCTTCATCTTGTCGTTATTCGCTGTTTACTTATTTTCCTTTCCCTTTTTCTTTACTTCATATTCATAATTTATGATTATTAGTCTAAGAATCGGTGTAATGAACAAATAAATCTGTTACTGGCATTCTTTAGATCAACAACAGATCTTAACGATTTGTTTCGTGTTACGATGAAATTCGAAGCTGAGCAAAAATAAATCGTGTAGAAATAATAAGCGGTGCAAAAGTCTTTGGAAAAATGCCAAACTTTGTTAGGTCATATTGCTGACTTCTGAACCAATTAATTTTTTTTTTGTTAGAAAGAGAATTATCTGAACTACAAATTTTGTAGCAGACATATTTTTCCAGAATGAATCTCACAAGAAAGAAAAGCCAAAAGCCAAACACATCTAGAAAAGTGCTTGCCACTTCACCATCGAGCAACATCATTTTCTATTTACTCTTAGTTTTTTTTATATTAGAAGAGAAATAAGAAAGCACGTTTAATGATGATTTTTGTAGCACAAAGAGTGCTCATTCTAATGGTGTATTGAAAATTAAATTTATTCTTGGTTTCTATATCAATAAATAGCTTTTTGTGAAAGAGACTAACTAATTTGGTCGTTCTCACTACTCGAACTTCTTACGACAATGAAAATAATTTTTTGAATGATTTTTTTGCTAAAATTCTACGAGTAGATATATTGTGACTAAATAACACAAATAGAATTCACTTTATGCATGATTGCTAGAGATCGTGGCTGATGTTTTCGTAAAATGATAGTTCTTGCAAAAGGCTCATTGTTCAAAAATTTTGTCTTTCAAACTTTTTTTGATTAAAGAGTCAAGAATAGTTCCAAAATATTTTTCTCAAAGCTAATATTGATAGAGTTTCTGATGCGCTACATTTTGAAGTATTTTTTGTTCAAATTTGGCCCATGTACCTTAAAGTAATTGAGAAAAACAGACTTTTCAAATTGCAAAAGAGCTGCAGGAACTTGATTGCAGGTATTTGGTTTTTGGCTTTTTCTCTTTCTCAGGTTTGTTCTGGAAAAATATGTCTGCTCCAAAATTGTAGTTTTAATATTGCTCTTTCTAACACAAAAAATTTGATTGGTTCAGAAGTCGACAATATGGTCTTAGATGGTTTGGCACTTTTCCAAAGACTTTTGCACCACTTATTTAGTCCTGCTAATTACTCAAAAAATATATTCATTTCATAATAAAGAATCTTTTAGTTTAGATGTATATAAACAAATAAAAAAACTAAATTACAATTTTTTCTTCGACCTACAATCAAAATTTTACAAACGTCATGAAAAGTGAATTGATGAAGAGTAATCATTATGAAAAAATTGACTGCTTTATTCATAATCATCGTTATCGTCTTCATTATCTGAAGGATGTAGGCGTGTCTATCATCGAAGTAAACCCTAGTGAATATAATGAGTTCAATGTACCCGTATATCGAGGAGATTTTCAGCAGAGTGGGTGTAAGTGTGGGTGAATCTTCAGATGCTGGAACATCCACGCCCACACCCATACTCTAAAATAGAATCTTTTTTTTAAGCATGCAATATCTCAAGAAGAAAACAATTTGTTTGAATAAAACTTTTAGGGAATTTTAAGATTCACGAGATTTATTTGTGGGCAAAATTTCAGATCCAAATTCCTTCATCTAATTCTCTTGCAAATAGTTTGCTACAGGTCAGAACTTTAGTAAAACAGTTATAACTCTCGTCACAAGGTCTAGTGGCATGAATCCTTTAGGAATTTTTCTAGTCTTGTCGAGTTTTACTTATGAGAGAAATATGAACTCGAACAGAAGATATCAGTTGGATAAGTTTCCTTTCTCAAATATCTCGTGGAGTGGGTGTTAGACCTTTTTGCACAAATAATGATTATTTTACTGGTTAATACATTTCACGAGAGAAAAATTGAAGAAAGAAATATCAGACAACATAGTTCCAAAATAATACACTAAAGATTCTAGTTAAGGTTGATTCTTATATTTTCTTTTAAATTGTACGCGCTTTTCAAAGCAAACTATTATTGAAAAATGTCAATTTATTCTTAAATTCTAAAAAAAAGATACAAATGCATATTTTGATTTTTCTTTTGTATCAATGTTTGTAAAGCAAACGTTTCTTTGAATTATTTGATCCATAATCGAATTTCACTATCAAAACGAGAACCTTTTTCAATTGCACATGATGCTGGTAATACACTTTGTAACCATTTGACAAGTTCATTTCTGTGATTCCATTTATCATCATGCCATTGAGCAGTTAATGCTCGAAGATTTGACATTTTTGTGATGAGATCAATTATATTTTTGCCTGTTTTTAGTTTGATAAGAAGTATCTCACATTGAATGATCAATGGTGTTTGGCATAATCGATTACATTGTTCTTCATCGAAATATCGATAAGTACGATTTCGACCTAATCCAAGTAAATCAAGTTGACGAATCGATGAACTCACTAGTTTAAATGGTGGCATTTGCGAAGTTGTCCACGATGCAAAGCGTAACGAATATAGATGAGGTGCTTTGTCAAGTAAAGCTTGCAATTGAGATTGAACAAGATCATAATTTTCATCATCAGTCAGTGTAACAGCAAGTGTAATCAAATTATCGAAATTCGGAACAATAGATGAAAATTGATCATCGAACGGAAGCGTAAGGGATAGCTGACGAATATTCAGAAAAGAAATATTAGATAAGGTCGAAGGTTGATCTATCAGTAAATTATAGTGTAAATTGTATACACGCTCATAGAAATAACGATTACAATCTTCGGGACAAGTTGATTTTGAAAATTTACCGATACTAACATCAAATTTGATAGATGGATAAGGTAATGTGTAAAGAGAAACATTATTGGTAATTTCACTTGAATCCCAATGACATCGTACAAACCATTTGCGTTCATCAAGCCAAAATGAACTTCGAAATGAATTAAGTACTTCATTGGCTTTTTCGTCCTTATTTTCATCGTTATAAAATTGAAATAACATGAAAAGTCGAAATACTTTGAGCATGCGTAAATTATTAACAATTACATCTTCCCAGTGATGTCCATCAATATAAGTACCTGATGTTTCAATTATCAAACAAGTTAAATTTGGTGTATTTTGTAAGACATGTGTCAGCGGATTTTTCGAGTCGACTCTTAAGAACTTCAACATAGTTATTGATTCAACAGTTGATGGTAGTCGTTCTTCAGTCCCCAAGGATTCAAACGACGTAAAAAGACGTTGAAGACGAGGTGTTTGTTGAAGTAGATTTGCCAATTTAAACATGCGACAATAGAAATTTGGAATATATAAATATTCAATCGATGTTGAGATCATCTTTGGCGTACTAAAAGTAGCTCTATGTTGAAAAGAGACGTCTAAATAGCAATGAATGAGTTTGGGTAAACTCCAAATACTGTCGATCATACAATGAACTTCCTTTTTTTCATAACCAAAGCGACATCGAATTAAATTGAGATGTGTTAATTGAGGATAACAACCATTTTTTGAAAGAAATTTGTTTATTGTTTGTATAGAAACCAGACGATAGAATGATAATGATCGTAAATTCGTAAATTGATTCAAATTTAAGCTAAAAGTACAGAAAAGATCAGCTTGTTCTGGAGTATCATCGTCGTCTGAGAGTCGAAGAGAAATAATTCGCTCGATAATCGACGGCAGTTTTTGACAGATTATGTCAAAATTAGTCTTGGATAAAGATTGAAAATTGAGATGATACTCATTGAAATGACTGAAGAGTATAGTATCGAGGCGAGAATTTAGATGAGAAAATATACGTAGAAGATCAAAAGCATTTATGCATTTGAAGACATCAATAATTGTATCATCGGCCAACGATTCGAAATTCGTCATTCTAAGCTTCCAATCTTTTTAATGAAGGGCTAAAAGAAATATTTTGTATTTTGTTATTTTTCTGAAAGAGGCAAATGGTTACGAAGAAAGCAGTCGTAATGTTTCTTGTCGACCCTCCTTTTTTCCACTTTTGTCTTATTTGCATATGTCATGCGATACACATATTCTTTTTTTTCTTTCTTTCTTATCATTGTCAATTAAGCTTTTCTCTTCTCGTACGAGTAAATAAAATGTCTTCTGATAAAAACAACCCATCGACAATTTCAACACAATCCAAATAAAAGCAAAAGAATATATTTTTACGAATATTATTTCGCCTCGTCATGAAATGTCATTATACTTTTTCCTTCTTATCCCCCCTGGCACTCCATCTCTCTCATTCTCAATGAGACTTATTCATGATTCGCCTGTTAGTAACCAACATGTATTAAAAAAAAAATGGTTATTCTAGTTTATTTGTTACTAAGGGCGATCTTTTTTCTTTCATCTATAGTTTTTCATAATCTTGTTAGCACAATACCTGTTCGTAACTTCCAAACTGTCTACAAAATTTAAGCCAATTAACATTGTAGTATTCACAATTTGGAATGAATTAATTCGCGTTGTTCTAATTTTTATTGCGTTTCCAAATTGCGAACACTTTGATTAATTAGTAGTTTTTGAAATACTTGATTATGAGTTCTGTTCTATTAATAATATTAATATGTAATTTTGAGAACAAAAGATCATGCTAAATTTCAAACTATGGGCACAAACTTCACCTGGTCAACAACTGAGAAAGGTGAAAAAGTCATTTTAGATATAAGAATTACTGATATTGATTAAGATCTGAAAATTAGAATGGTTTATTAATTTATTTTTGTATTTGGAAATGGTGTTTTCGTGTCATTAAATGTAAGAGTGCTAATGAATCGGGATATATGGATGTGGACTAATGAAGTGAAATCATCAGAAGAATCTGTTATGTGTCAAGGCATTACGAAAATCAAAAACTCTTGGTTCTAACGTATTCATTTTGATATTTGATAGTTTTTCTTTTGAGACATTATAAGAAAACTGATTTTGGAAGGATCAACTCATAATGCTTTCTTGTAAACTTCATGATATACGTTCTCTTGAAATGAGCGGTTGATATAATATTATATACCGATCAAAAATAGATATTCGAAAAGAAACTATAAGCTTACAATGATCAAATTATCTTTTTTAGAGTTATTGATAGCTTAATATTGAGAGTGTGTGGTCATGAAAATATATTTGTAACAAGTTTAGCAGGAAAGCTCGTATTTTTTTTCTTTTGCATAGGTACTATCATTTAAAAAAACACGTATAGCACATAACTAGACTGTTTTTTTTTTATATATAATTAACGTTTTTTATTGAAACAAATATTTGATTGAGCTCGTTATTAACTCGTGAGAATCGAGGAATCTTCGGTCATATGAAGTATGGTGGAATCTTTGTTAGACTGAATAGCATATTGATATTTTTCCTGATAAGTCATTCATAATTATAATAGTTGCTCAATTATCGAAGAATGAAGATGTATATATACTGTTACTCTTTATCTGTACTTCATTTATCTTCAACAAGAGTACATTCAGACTAGAAAAGCAACACCGAGAAAAAACTATCTAGAACAGGATCTACAAAGTTTCTTTAAAGTATATAGAAAAAAAGGCAGATTGCATACATATAATCTGATACAAATCGTTGCTTGGAAAAAGCTTCCTTCATAGTTTAGAATTTCAATTTCTATGTACTAGTATTTGCCAGAGAATTTTTATATATGTAATGTTGTGTCAAAAATTCATTTCAATAGAACATACACAATAGTGGCTAAAACTAAAAGAACAAAGTGTTTTATTTGTTTCATTTTTCGTTTTAATTTCTAAATTAACTTAGTTGTTCATCTATCGGCATATATGCATTCGAATATTCTCTGTCTGAATATGAAATCAAATTGTTTCAATACGACTATCAAGCTTGAGGAAAAATGAAAAAGCTAAAACACTCAAGGCACTCTTTGTTCTTATAACTTTAGCCGTCACTCTATGATTAAGTTTACAAAAACGCAGTATGAGTTTATCCTTGCAAAATTAGTTTCCTTCTAATGCCTCAAAACTAAAACTTCAAAACTAGTTTTGGTTTTGATGCATGCTTATATGTGTCGTTATGAACAAGAATAAGCACAAAAGCCTACAATAAGACTAAGGAAAGGCAAATATATACAAGATGATAAAAAAAACCTATGTTAGCAAAAAGTATATATTTAAGATAAAGATGTTGATGCTCATCATGAAGTTTTAAGAATTGACTCTCATCGTTATATCAACATTATAAAAAATGTCAAAGATAATAGTGATGAAGAATAGTTTTTTGTTCTATATTTGTCTTGTCAATATATATATATTGCTTTTTTACTAAAAATGTTAATTATATAAAGAATATGAATAGGGTGGGGGTGCGGTTGTGGGTGGGGTACGGCTCTTCTTCTATCCACACCCACACTCAGACCCAAATACACACACACTCAAGAATAAACCATATATTTGTAAATGTTCAATTGGCTTGCCCGAATATAACAATAAAAAATGCAATAACCTTTGTTTTCGGAAAAAATTCTGTCTTTGAAACAATGAAATGTGTCCACGTTTCTTTATGATGCTGCTGGAGAGACTTCATCTGATTATCAATAACAAGCACTTGAACATGATTTGGGCTTTCCAATGCCATTGCATTATGTATTTGACTGAATTTCACCGCCGTCGTCAAAGCTAATTCTCTCTGAGCAGCTTGCTTATCGAAACGTTGACGAATATTGTACCAGTTTTTAACAAGCTTCGATTCATACTTATAATATCCACAGTTAACATCATACTTATTTTGGATACGTCCAATAACATAACGACAAAAGTAAATATCAATACTCTGTTCTTTCACTTCTTTTGTTGCTTTACCGTGCTGGATGTGTGACTCTTCCCCTTTTTTATCATCCAAAAGACTAACATCAATAGGGAAACTGAAATCTCTGAAACTATCTTCCTTCGGTTGTGTTATGAAATTATAAGCAGCTTTACCAAGGGCATTACGCAGTTTTTTGTCTTCAATGCCGTGTAAGTGAAGCATAGTCTCTGTTACGGTCAAACCCGACAAAGTTATCATATGTAGCTCTTATTTTGCATCTGAGAATGGATGATGAACATGATCAGGAGTTTTGTTATCGCCAAACACTGAATAGAAAACATTAGAGCTGATGATTGTATGCAATTAAACTTCTTTTTCCCCTTTCACTTACCACTACGTTTAATTTGATCAAGTTTCGTTGGATTGAGCACATTCAGCCGAACCCATGTGGATGAATGTCTTTCCTTTGGTAAAGCCGTGACGGGAAAATTTAATGTTTTTTTTGAAAATCAAAATGGGTTACTTTTAGACTGAAATGTGAAAAAAAATTTTGCAAAGATGAAATGCAGTTCTGTTTTATACTAGAACGATTAGGCCTTTTAAAGTTTTGTTCTTTCTAATCTTCCCATACAAGATTCAGTGATTTCTTTATTTTTTTCTGTTAACATTTCTCGGGAAAAAAACATGACATTTGGCCATAACCTTCCAACAAGCAGAAAGCTATGAAAGCCTCCTTATCTTTAATGAAGACAATAAAATATAATGATGTCATATCAGTGCTTTCATTTTTTCTTGACTCATCTTTGAATCTTGCACAACAAGTTTGAAGTCACGAATAAAGTGTATAGATCAGGAAAAACACTGCAGCGTTAGCATCATGATATTCTTGAGGTCAAGTATACCGACCACAACATACTGAAGTTTTGAGGGTGCTGGTGTGGGTTAGGGATGCACCAGTACCAGTATACTGGGTACTGGTAATACTGGTAAACCAGTATACTGGTGAACCAGTATTACTGGTACTGATGCATCCCAACCAATAATTTAATCGAATATTTTAACTGATATAATCAAAAATACTGTCTCTAACTCTTTATCGTTTGGATTTATACTTACAAGTTGGACCTGGCACATAAATATAGTAGTCTAATTAGTGTTGACTAAAACAAAATCAGTGAATAGGTTGCCCTCGTATCAGTAATCTTTCCTTATATAATTCTAATATGAGCGACAATTGTCATTGTTTACAACATATATATTTATTACTTTCTTGATCGACTGACTTTTCGTACTATTTGATATGTTCAATATAGTTTTTCGAGCACAATGTTTTCTTTTACCTTGACTATGAATTGAATTAATGATGTTTTTCCTTCAAAAAAGATGAAAACTATTGAAAAACGTTGTTTATAATGTTATCAGTTAGTTGAGTATACAATATCGTATACGGTTTCAAATTGCTGCAAAACTCAATTTTTCACTTGAATATAGGCAAAAAAGTGATGGCTGAGAAAATTACTCATTCAACTAATAGTTTTTGTTGAAAGCCGAAAACC